TGTTTTCAAAAAAACAAATTCAATGCCGGACACGCCCGCCAGGTCAACGCCGGAATCTGGCCGGAAAAAAATTTCAGAAAAAAATTTATTTTCTAAAAAAAAATATTTTTTCAAAAAATTATTAAAATGGGGGTTAATGTGATATATTTGTTTAAATTCGGGGTCAATGTGTAATATTAAGGAAGTTAGAGTATAATGGATGAAATTGATAAAAAAATATATTATGGAGGGTATTTTAGAATAAAAACATGGTGATGAGTTTATTTGAAAGATTGTTGTTTATGTGGACCAATGTGCATTTAAGTCCCTTGTCATGGCCCTAATTATTAATTATTATTAATTGTTACTTAAGTTTTAGTTGTAGGGGTTTTTATGTAATTTCACTTATAAGGTAGGTATCGTACTTTTTTTGTGGGGTTCGTACAAATCATACGTGTCACATTTTTATTGATTGATTGTCAATCGTTTGAGTCCGAGTAGTACAACCCCTCTCGGACCCTAGACAACCCCTATTAAGTTTACTACTAATCAATATATTTTCCAAAAAAAAAAAAACATTCAGTGGTAAATTTTGTTCCTCGGGTCAATAGTTAAAATTAGCGTGTTACATAGTTTACAAGAAAATAGTAATTCGTGATGATTGCCCGCATAGGTTTAGCTCAACTGGTTCCGGAGGTGGTAAGTTGGTGCAAGATCCTAGGATCGAATCCTGGCAGCCCCAGTGTGGGAATTTCAACTCCAATGAGATTGGTTCCTTGTGGGCACCAGGTCCGGGTCCGCTACCTTAACGAGCCGTTGAGTTATCATGATTTACATTCCTCCATCAATCCTCCATAAATAAACTCTAATTTTATTGAAATGTCAAGAACACTTATTCTCACACGAGAATTTGATTTTTTTTTTCCTTTTGGCATTCTGAATTGAATAATTACGTGTGGAATTATCGTTTGACCCGATTTGATACACTTGATTAGCTTTGATCTATATTACAAACCAATCTCGAATTTTCATCTGGTAGTCAGCTAGTTTGAATTCGATATGCTTAAGAGTGCAACAATTTATTCAATACCCATCCGTTTCATAATAACTGTCACTTTAGAGAAATATTTTTGTTCCATATAATCTGTCACTTTAGGATTACAAATACTGCATTAAACTCTTTGCTTTCCTGTTTTACCCATATCTATAATATTAGTTTCTCTATCTCCCATCATTAACTGATCAAAGTTGTTTTAGTCTTTTTAATGTGTTTTTTTCTAAAATCGAGAAAACATTTTATTGAAATTCTTAATACTCTTGGAAAGCTGAAAAACGATTATTATTTAAGAACGAACGGGGTAGTTGTTTGTTCGATGCAATATGATTTTTTGTTGAAAATATTTAGTAATTCTTGAAATATAAATAACCCTGCAAGCTGAAACCATTTTCCAGGCCTTGAATTTAGTGTATCTCTTTATTTCTCTTTCAACAACTCCCCTTATTTAAATTTTGACCTTTTTGTACATATGTCCTGTCAGCTTCTTTCTACTTTTACACTTTTTCCCTCTTGTCTGAATATACTATCAAATATCCCACAAATTCTTCTTGTCTAATTAAACAATATAATTATTTAATTGTGTGTTCCCTGTAATAACCATTTCCAGGTTTCATGGATTTTTTGGCTATTAATAATAATGATTCTGCTAATCTGGAGTTAACCATAGCCCCGCCGGACTTCTCTTTGTCTCCGATTTCTTTTCCATATTCTTCCGGTACAAAATAAACCAATTATATGGTGATCAATTATGCATATATATATATATATATATATATATATATATATATATATATATATATATATATATATATATGTATTTATCATTTAAATTTTTCCCTTAGAAATTGTGCACATGGTGTGTATGTATTAGTATAAGAATGAAAATTCCATGGTTATTAATTAAGTTGGTTATATAAGTTTAAGATGAAATTATATGTGTGTTTTTGTGTACGTATATATATTATATGTATAAATAGGGGGAAGTGGTGGTGCAATGAAAGAAGTTGACATAAATCAAGTACCATCATCTGGAACAGAAGAAGAATGCATGCAAGAAGAAGAAGAAGACGACGACGAAGATGAAAGCCCGAATGGGGGGCCAGGCCCGAGAAAGAAACTCCGTCTTACAAAAGAACAGTCTCGTCTTCTTGAACAAACCTTCTTACATAATCAAACCTTAAACCATGTATATATATACACACACCTCTTTGCTTATAAAACTATGTATATATAATATGTGTTAGAAAAAAACTATAGTGGTGAATAATGTAATTTTGTGATGCAGAAAGAAAAGGAGAGTTTGGCAATTGAATTAAAATTGAAGCCAAGGCAAGTGGAGGTGTGGTTTCAAAACCGTAGAGCAAGGTAATTTTTATTTTCCTTTTTTTTCTTTTTTTTTCTTTTAATATAATTCAGTTGGTCAATATATTTATTTTAGCACCTAGCCACCTGTTTTATATTATAATATGTTCGGTTTCAGTTGGTCAATTTATGTGTGTTTAGTGGGTGATTATTTAGTCAGATTTACGGTTTTACCCACTGTAAATAATCAGATGTAGCATCTAACTTCCTGCTGCATCTTGCTCGAAAATCGAATGCGAAAATGATATATCGTTAATAGGGAAAAATGATAATCGAAAAATGATTATATGAAAGAATTATGTTGGGCTGATTGAGTTTTTGACTAGAAGGCCAGCCTAATGATAAACTACATAATTAAGTTTTTAGTAATTAATTAACCTTATATATTGATTAACAACAAAGTACAATTAATCCTGATGACTAAAAAAAAAAAAATTTATTCAAACAGGAGCAAGACA